ATGCATGTCACAATTTGCACTAAAAGAGCGAGGGTGAATTGGCAATTTATTTGCAAAAAGAACGAAATACGTGGCACGCGCACAGACGCGACATTTGCACCGCGAACAGGAGCGTTAGCACAGCTGCCACCGGTATTATTGTTGGGGCCGTGGGACCGCCACCATAAGAACGCCATCGAAATGTTTGTTCCAAAAAAGTGTTTAGTTCATCCCGCTATCCTCAATGGTTTTTGTACAAGCTTAGGTCCGAGCTTAGGAAAAAAAAAAAAACAAAAAAAAAACTCCACTATCATAAGAAATATAAGGCCAAGCAAACACAATTCTGGTATAAAAGTTTTCCAAATCACGAGCGTTAGCTAAGTTGCTAATCAAGAGGGACAAAGAATCTTATCGAGAGTCAGTTGAACTCAGCTTAAACCGTGACCCCAAGTATTTCTGGCGGTACATCAGTGATCGCATAACCAGGTCCTTTTCTGCGATAAGCCTACGTGACGCATCTGGTAAAGTGCTGAATAAATCTGCACGTGTGTCAAATTCATTCGCTGATTGATTCGGATATGTTTACTCTTCAAACCAAGCCGCGTCATGCACGCCAGACGATAGCAACAAGTATAATGATAACCTCTCGATAACGTCTTTTCAAAACGCTGAAATAGAGATTGCGATAAAAAGACTAAAACCTAAGCTATCAATGGGGGCTTTTGATTGCATCCCAAGCTTTAATGTTAAAGGTTGTTCCTTAATTTTTATGCCAGTATTAACACATATTTCCAACTTGTGTCTGTCAAGTTTTACTTTTACCGAGCTTTAGAAAACTTCGGTCATTGTGCCTGTTCACAAAGGTGGCAATACCGTTGATGTAAAGAATTACAGACCGGTATCCTTCCTCTGTGCTTTTTTGAAAGTTCTTGAAATGGTGTTGTTTGAACATTGGCCACAATTTTTTAATGTAAAATTAGCATTCGCAACATGGTTTCTTCTCTGGAAGTTCTGTAGAGACCAATCTAGTGTCATTTTTAGACTTCGTTTCGCCAATTGCCGATCAGCGTGGACAGATGGATAAACGTATACTTTGAGATGTCGAAGGCGTTTGACTCAGTGAATCATTCAAATATTCTTGTACACAAATTGGGGACATATGAAGTAAATAACGAGCTTTGCAATTTTTTTTTTCAAACTATCTGATGAACAGAAGAAACTTCGTTCGAATATTAGGACATCATTCTAGACTTTGTGTCGTTTTCTGGTGTACCACAGGGGTCCATACTAGAGCCAATTTTATTCAATGTTTTTTTATATATAAATGATCTAGGTTCTCGCGTCCGCCATTCACATATTTTTCAATATGCTGACAACATCAAAATGTTTAGGCAGGTGTCATCTATTTATGACTGTGAAATGCTACTCGAGGATGTCAATGCTGTGCACCATTGGTGTTGCAGCAATCTGTTAACACTAAATCCCAAGAAAACTGTTGTTATCTCCTTTTCTAAGAAATTCTAAATCACAAGTTTTTGTTACTATCTTGAGAACCTCCCTCCGCGTAGGGTTGAATGCAAAAGAGATTTAGGAGTATGTATTGATTCATCATTGTCATTCAAAGAACATGTTTCCAACATTACAAATGCTTCCTACCGGACTAGGTGTTATTTCGAGAAGAACGCGTGAATTCCCTTCGTCAGCTTGTGTATTCATTTTGTATTTTTAATTAGTACGTAGCAAGCTTGAATTTAGTTCGTTTGTTTGGAATTGTATTGGGGGGTAGTGCGAACCAGGCAAAGATCGAAAACGCGCAGAGACGTTTCTTTCGTATTATTTATGATCGCTACATTGGCCGCAGTGTTTATTATGAGTATAACAGGCTTTTAAGACAATGTTGTTGTACTACACTAAGCTCGAGAAGACTTGAGCGTGACATAATATTTTTGTATAAATGCGTTCATGGTTGCACTAATTGTTCAACCTCACATCAGCTAATAATATATATGTACCGCGAGTGCTTTTGAGAGTAAATCCCACTTTCTCAGTTAACAAAAAAAAAAAAAAATCAACCCTTCCAGTCCCATGAACTGCCTCCAACATTTTTATAGCACGTTCTGTACAACCAGCATCGACATTTTCAACTCGTGTTCCAGCGTTTAGGCGTTCAATGACTGATATTTAACTGTTACCATTTCCTGTTTCCCCATATTATATATCATTTGTTGCCAGTGCCACAAATTTCTTGTGTGTTCTCCTTTTGACTATGTGCATCATTACTTAGGCTATTCGCCGTTCATGAGTACGGAAAATAAACATATGAATGAAATGAAATGAGTCTCTAACACCAGAGAGCTACCAGGTCGGGAAACGGTCCATTTCATGTTGTTCAATAACGCTGCACAATCGTAGTATTAATAAAATTGAATATTTCATCTCGTTTAATTGTATACCTGATAAACAAAATAAAACGAATAAACTTTGTTTTTAACGTCAAAATAATTTTATTGGCTGTGAGAACAGACAGGTTGCGGAGCTCAAAAAAATATTTCTTCATTGGAATCAGAGCGCCGCTGCAGAGGCGGGGCTCTGCGCTTTCTCTAACCCTACAAAAACCTACTGCAGTGCAAGGCAACATGTTCGTGCTTGTAGATTCGGTCGCACCCAAACTATGCATCATTCCAATGTTTACAAAAGCCTGCGATTTTCACAGCTCCAAACGCTCATATTCTTCGCCTCAGAAAAGGAGCAAAGCAGGCGCCACACTCACGAACACTGAAATTGGCACTGGACAGGACATCACTGCATCCTGGTGGTGATCCTTCCCACTCTTGTCAAGGAAAAAAAAACTCGATTCCGTAAAATGCAGGTTGTAAAAGGTACGCGCATAGCAGCAAGGCTACCGCACGTTCAAAATATATACATAGTCAAATTGCAGAACTATATCTTGGGCTGGGCGTCAATTAAAAGTATTAACCCGATTAATCACCTCCTCTTACTCGTATAATTAATCGATTAATTGGTTCTATTCAGGGCCCCACAGATAATAGTTTTTAAAAAAGTCAAAATTACATTCTTTCTGCCTTTGCTGAACATGTGATAAACGGTGCAATGTATTATTTCGAATTTTAAATCACCCTCGATGTGTGCGAGAAAGTCAAAAGAAAGTCGCACTCACAAATAATACTGTAGCCGCAGAGGCAAATAAATTCGTTGGTATTCTCCAGCAATAGTAAATTCTCTTGATTGTTCACGGCAGACTCTCCTGCGCTAAACGAACACTCACACGGCGTTGAATTGGCTGGGACACGCATAACCTCCTCCACTTGTTATGCCCGTGTCCCACTAGAGCGACATACCGAAACAAAAGACAACGACAAGCCTCAAACCAGAGTCTTTCGCGATTCGTGAGGCCTCGTAGAATAAGAAGGCTATGCTCAAACACGAGCATCATGCACGCGAGGGTGTCTTTGGCAGGCTTGCAATCGCTCGTGCTTACTTCACGAGCACCGAACGACCAAACGCCTGTCAAAGGTACCATCGTGAGCATGCTGCATAGGTTTGAGGCTTGTCGCTGTCTTTTGTCTCTGTCTGTCGCTCTAGTGGGACACGGGCATTAGGAGTTACAAATCTCGCTACTACAGTTTTCTTGAGGTCAAAATTTTACCTAAAGTTTGCCTTCGTACACGTGTACTCGTCCACGTCTGCGCAGTAAAGGCGTTAAATTCTTAGTTTTTTTTTTCCCCCCAAACTTTAGCCGACTAATCTGTTAAAAATTTCATCGCGATTGAAGAATTAATTGTTCGATCGGTAAGTTAATCGATAAGTGCCCAGCCCTAAATATCACATTCTGGAAGATCGACGGGGACATCATCGTGCCGGAAAAGACGCTGGGTGATTGTTAAACTTTTCATCGTGTGCAACTTGCGCGCCATGTCCTTGGCCAGAATGTTCTCGAATGCTGCTTTCAGATGAAAGTCCCTGCTGACGGCCTTCCTTAGTGGTTCCCGTTTCCACACAAAGACCTTGCACGCTCCCATCGCCGTGGCAGTCACTTGGTACTGGTCGCTGTCAGGAGCCTCGAACCACTCGCAAGACTCGAGGAACTCGTACTTGCCGACTACCTGCAACGGCCGACTGTTTTCGGATGCAAGGAGACTGCCGCTGAGGACGAGCGAAAGCCTGTCGTTCTGGGTGACCTTTTCGACGGCCAGATTCTGTCCCGGGCACAGCTCTTGCGTCCCCTCGACGCGCGTGGCGATGATATGGAACTGACGACGTGTCACCCCGAGCGGCTGGAACAGGACCTCGAAGACTGCCCTCAGCTCGCCAGGGAGCGAGACGGGTCGCAGGGCGTAGACGAGCACGAGGCCATGGACGAGGTTGATGAGCGTAAACAGGGAGTTCCAAAGGAACGTGTCGAAGGCGCACAAGACAACGGTCGCCCATAGCGCGAAAAGGAAAGATCCCGCGCCGATGACAGCTCGCAGGTAGAGCAGGCCGTAAGGTCCTTCGGGAGTCACGTAGGACAAGAGTAAGAAGACGTTGGCGATGTGGAAGTAGACGTGGTTCGTGGGCAACCAGCTGGAGCATATGCCGCCCGCAGTTTCCACTAAAGGGTCTGTGGTGGCGTTGGTCTCACGGAGGGACAGGAACAGCGCCGCTCCGGTCATGTTCGCGCTGGCACCGCTGGTATTGCCGACGTCCAGAAGAGCTGACACTAATAACATTTCTGTAATGAAGCGACAGCAATTAGATTACCCTTTGCGGTATTTAGCGCCACATTGTATTCATTTATGGGGTGGAAAATGGGCAATGTGCAAAACCGACGCTCCCCTAGATGCTTAGATGGTTTTGGAAAACATTTGTCAACGAAGATTTCGGTTCCATTGTCCGTCCCGCGGCCAGCAGCAAACGAACACCGCGGACTTGCGCCACGCCCCTCAACGCAGCGTACCTCGCCGAGTTTTCGTAGGTCAACCTACAAGTGCATGTAATAGAGTAAGTATACTTTCTTCTCTTGACTTATCAGACGGTAACTGATTCAAGGTGAAGGCAAGCCATTCAAAGTTTGGGAAAGAGAAAAAAGACGGCAGCTAGTGGCCAAATGAATCGGGGCAACGAAAGGGAACGTTGAAGATGGCTTGAGAACGAGGAATAAGACATGAAATAAAGACATTTTGAAAGCCCAATATTTATCTTGGTGCTGGCCCTCCTCAAAGCCTGTCGAAGTAGAAAACAAACACCCACAAGGAGTCGGTGCGTAGAGCAGTGTACGCCGATCGAAATACGGTTTCGTTTCGCTGAAGCGACGCGGTTTGCCTTCGTCTTGAATCAGTCACTGTCAGATAAAGTCACGAGAAGAAAAGTACAATGAATCACGCACACACAAGGTCTACCTATGAGGTCAACCTATCTATACGCCGCGTCGCTACGTGTGTGCAGTGCAGGCGAAGGCAACGCCAGGCGAAGAAAGGGCGAGCACTAGGAAGACGGGAGAGGAGGTCACTGGAAGGCGAGGGAAGAAAAGGACAGGAACGCTACAGAGGACAGGAGATTTCTCTCTTCCTCCCCAGGCTTCCTAGTGCTTGCCCTTTCTCCCCTCGCCTGGCGTTGTCTTCGCCTCTAATGCGCGCAACTAGTGCCACGAAGTATATAGACGGTGTATTAGTGAACCGTTTATAGGGCAGTCTAACACAGAAATGAACTACCTCAACTTCTTCTCATACAGAATTTTTATTGAAAATTCTTTAAACGTTTCATGAAGCATTCATGTACTTCTTAATTTATGTGATTCCCAAAAACTTGTTCTTTCACACTTTGTTTTATATAGCTATTACCTCTGTCTATTTAATTAGCACATCCCTCACTTCCTCCTTGTCTTTCCCTACTATCAACTTACTAAACGTCAGTTGATAGTAAGCGCTTGTATGTGCGTGTGTACGTGCATGCTCGTGTTCTATAGATTCGTCACTATCATCCTAACTGCCATTTTTCTATACCTTTCGCCCTCCTTTTTTTCTCTCTCCCCTCTCTTTCATTTCTTTGTTTCCTTTCTGGGAAAAACATTTCTGCAACCCCTGGAAGAACGACACGTTCCCCCTTCCTGTCTTGTACTGCGTCTTGTCCTTGTCCTTTGCGCTTTTCAATTTTTCTGATGTGCAGCCAACTTGCCCAACAGTAAATTTTATTCCAACCTACGATGACTCGCCGAGGCACTCTGCGTCTACCGTACATTACGTACACCGCTGACGTGCACCTCGCCCACTGCAGGTCCGCGGCGTCCGCTTCTGGCTGGCCGCGCTTCGACGGAAGAAAACCGTTCGTTGACAAATGTTTCCCAGATAGAGCCGCTAGGGGCGCCTTGGTTTTGCAGATTGTCCATTGACCACTTAAATGCATTTACGCCATGGACATAGGAAGCTACTGGAGGTGATATAAAGCCACAAGAGGTGAAGCCAGAAGTGTGGACGGACACGGTTTGGGGTGAGTCACACGGTCGAAGGCTTCAGAAAAGTGTATAAACACTACATCGACTTGGCCCTTGCTTGTCTGGAACTTCTGCGAGGCCATGTTACGTTTCTATCAGCTGAGTCACTGTTGCAAGTCGACGTCGAAAGCCATGTTGGCTGGCGTCAAAAAAGTTTGATATTTCAAGGATGGTGGCCACGTATTTGAATACGATATTTTCCGGTAATTTGCTCGACGTATAATGTAAGGAAATAGGCCTAAAGCTGTTAAATTAGGTTTAAACGCAATAAAAAATAAAAACAATAAAAAACTTACCAACCTAATACAAATATAAGTTAAAATTTATGCCACAGCGGCATGGCTTTGTTGTATGTATGTACACGGGTTTATTACCGTTATGAAATATGATCATAATTCAGAATCTGTAGACTCTTTTACATACACGATAACCCGCATTCGATTACCGTAATGTATCTGATATCAGCGCCAGAAAAATATAGCTAATCTGTCAAGTATTTTGAGGCCATATTGCAGTTATGCGATAGATATCGGCCTGAAGTTTTTTTTTTAACTATTGCGTTCTTGCTAAGCGACAGTCGAATGAACGCAATGGAATGCGACTCCATGGTTTGTTATCAACCTGCTGAAGTATCGGAAGCAAGGCTAAAATGGCCACACTACCGGCGCGTGTTCGCTGGTTGTATTACTTACTCCGCCTCAAGAATACATATGAAAGAGGCTTCCAACCTCTCTCTGCTTGCATGTACTGTACTACGTTCCCCGCTAAGTCGACAGTGTGATGCAAGCACACAGTGAAAGGAGAAGGTTAAAAGAAGGCCTCCAAAGGCGACAAACGTTTGCTCGAGTTTCGCGCATCTCCCGGCAGGAGCACTGTCGGTTTATGGCCTTCGTTTAGAGGACCGCACGCAGCGCGGAATTGTAAATGTATGCGCTGCGCGGAAGAGGATATCCACTGGCTATTATAGCTTCCATATGGTGCGCCATCTCACCGCGTTCGTCAGAAATGCGAGCGAACCTTCCCAACACTCGCTCCAAGCCTGGGCGACGCAGTTCAGGCACCTCTCTCTTCTCCCACCGGCTGCATAATTCAAATTTTCGTTGATAAAAAAAAAAGAATTGTTTTTCCTTTGATATTTTTTACTCAATTTTAAAACAACACACCTTGACAAATGTCTGTTTTATTAGCTAACAAATAAGTTTGTATCCTACATAAATTATCACTGTTATTCCCGAAATCCGTCCCGTCTTGTCGTAATAAACGGGGTCATTGGCGCCCACCGCAGCTCGAAGCACGTGGAGCGAAAGCTAGCACTGCAGAGCCCAGGGATCCTGGCTTCCCCCACCCCTGCTCGTATCGATCTGGATGAGGTTGTACCGGCATGCGTTGTGTGGTGCACGTTAGAGGCCCCAGGCTAGCTGTTGTACTGCACCGGCTAAATTTCTCGTCTACAGCTGAGACACCAGACGCCCATTGGGCCTGACTAACTGCCGGCTGTACAAATATACACAAAACAATTCATTTCGTCATGATCAACAATCTAGAAAACAAAAACACACTGTGTTGTCCACACCTATAAATAGTGTCCATCGCGTAAAGTTTTCAACTTTTCCAAAGCTGAAAGCTGGGCTAGTTGGTGTAGGCTAAACATAATGTAGGTAAAACAGCGCAGAACGACGAAGACAAGAAGGAAGGAACAAACAGGCCCGTCCCGTCCTGTCCTATTGAAAAATCTCATTTGTATGAAAAAATGTTGTGTCCAATAATCATACAAGATGTGTAAGAACATATAAGAAGCATGTAAGAACCATATAAGAACCATATAAGACCTATATAAAATATATAAGAACCATATAAGAAACTTGTGAGCAGTTACTTAAATGGTTCTTAAATGGTTCTTATATGTTCTTATACATCTTATACGGTTCTTAGTACGGTTTTTATGGTTCTTCAATGTTCTTATATATCTTGTATGATTCATATGTGTTTATTGCACACAAGAAATTTCTCATACAAATGAATTTTTCACTAGGTTGTTTGTTCTTTCCTTCTAGTCTTAATCGTTCTGCGCTGTTTTACCTGCATTATGTTTCCAAATTGTAAGCAAGTATTTAATCCCCAGACTATAGTTCTAAAAATACGGTACTTGTTGGACGAGTCAGCCATCATACTTACACACCGTGATCTCGATCTTTGCCAGTATTGGGTAAAGCACATCTACAGAGTACTTGAAGTAAAGTACAACGCAAATGAGGTGTTATGTACTTCAAGTAAAGTACCAAGTACATCGGCCTCAGGGTACCTGGAGCATAAAATATATAAATGTAATGTACATTCAAACTAAAGTACAGCACACCGTGATCTCGATCTTTGCCAGTATTGGGTAAAGCACATCTACAGAGTACTTGAAGTAAAGTACAACGCAAATGAGGTGTTATGTACTTCAAGTAAAGTACCAAGTACATCGGCCTGAGGGTACCTGGAGCATAAAATATATAAATGTAATGTACATTCAAACTAAAGTACAGCTACTTTTTAACACAATCTTTTGCGATTCCTTCATTGCACTCATGGGTAATCGGGGTGTATGAATTCGATAAAGTTAAGTGGCCACAGAATAGTCGCACTACTGTCCACCTCGCTAGTGCCAAGAACTCTGCGAGTCTTCCCCATCTTCTCCCCTCTTCCTCTGATTTCTGAATTTGCACCGCCTGCACAGCCCCCGCTTAACCCCAAGGGGTTGAAACGTAAAAGAAGAGAGCACGACGTTAGCTCTGTAGCTTCCGCAAGCAATCCTATTGTGGAGGAGTGTCCTTTCCTAATATTTTAACCTCCTTGCTTGCGATGACCAAACGAGAAGTAGTGACAGTTTGAAAGGCTACGGGAAAACTGCCCCCAGTTATATCATTCCTAGTATTTCTTCAGAGTTCACAAAGTATCAGTTTGTGGTAAAAATTGAACAAGACCAAACTTGGGGAATGTACTTTGAAGACGGGAGTTGTACTTTGCTCTGAAGGTACCAGCGAAGAGAGTACAAGTGCATACTAAGAGGCTGTACATCAAGTAAAGTAGACGCTTTCTAAACCCATTTGAAGTAGGACTTTAAGAACAATGCACTTAAAGTACTTCCCAACACTGCTCTTTGCGCATACTTTCGCACAACGAGCGGGGTAGGGAGTTAAATGGTTACTGAATCGAAACTTAAAATACAGAGAAAACATCAAGAAATAAGTCGAATAGTATCAGCTAAACCTGTAAACGATAATAATGCATAAATTATATTACAACGATTGTTACACAAACATTTATTTCCTTAAACCGCCTTATAGATCATCCAATCGGCCCGCAACCAGCAAAAGTTTTCAACATCTCACTGGTTCAACAAACGCATTCATTCATTCAGCTGTACCACGAGGCATCCGCACATGGAACAACCTTCCCGAATGCATAGTCAACATTACTGACACCACACTCACTTGTCGTGCCCGTTGTAGTTAGCCGTCAAATCACCATACCTGAGTGAGCTGCCGCTCATGCACAGTCCAACTGCTCATACGCCAATATCCAGGGGAAAGATTGCGTGCCGTCTCTTGCACCGTCTTTGATATCCGATTGGCGAGAAGCTTCCTCCCGGTCCCGCCAGGGGCGCCGAATCGTCTTTCGCGCTATCTCCTGCATGGTTGGTGCCTTGAGGGCGCGGCACACTCTGGGAGGATTAACGGTGCTCGGAGATAGTTCTCCCGACCATCTCAGCAGCTACGCGACCATCAAATCGCGTTTCGGTTAGTGACATGTTTGCACGTAACTCGTTACAAGTAAACGATCACTTGCAATCAATTACATTTCATTGCAATTTTGTAACGTATAAATACTTTCTCTGAGCGATTTAATTTTTCTGAATTTTTTTTAAAGGTTTTCGTTTGAGAATTGAATGGCAATTTTTCTTCACGAAAGGCGCCAGCTTGCCTGTGAGCACTGAGCTGTGCAGTTATGTATTTTACGTTATTTGTGTTTCATTTTCACAAGAGCACTACGAAACATTGCTAGGGCGTGCTTCACTCCCGGCAGGACGAAGAATGCAGCGCATGCTCCACCCACAGGCGTAATACGTCCCCTTCAAGTTAATCCCCTGTCGAAAAAATAGTGAGGCAAAGATACCTGCGCTACTTAGCGCGATACGGAGAAGACGGCTGAAAGGTTTTCCACATCGTGTCGTCAAAGTGTGACGGCAGAACACGATTGCAACTTTCTCCCACTACATTTTTATGAGTAACAGTGGCGGAACAATGCAATCATTGTTGCACTTGCATGCAACTGATCGGAATGACTAGACTGTACGGGGTCGCCGCGCTTCAGAAATGAATGAACGCTGCTTTGAAGGCGTTTTTTTAGTAGTCAGAGAAGCAGGCGGAGTCCGATGAGGCAGCATGGCGAGTGCAATACTCGAGCATCTAACGCAGCGTAGCAGATTGATAGTTGTGACTGCAACCATCATATATCCGCTTTGTGTTACACCAGCTCTCCGCCTCTTTTATCAGTTGCAAGATTTCAATCCTGACAAAAAAAAATTACAGTGACCATTATCTCCAGAGTTATATGATGCATCACATGCAGTATTTGAGGAGCGTTCGTTTCAATTGGTTTAGAAGACATTAAACAGTCGTTTCGGGTGAGTGAAGAACCGTTTTTAAGGCTGCGAATAACTCCCCAAACATAATTTATTCTCTCTTTCTTTCTCTCTCTTTTTCTGAATGTATTAAATGTAGCAGGGACACTCACTTCATACAAAAGTCACGTGACGCCAATTTTCCCGGAAGATTCAGCCGAGAAGCTGAAATGGAGTATAGGTATGGCGACGTCCAATTTTTCGCTAAATTTAGTGGGGAAACTGAATTGGTGTATAGGTCATTTGACGTCATTTCACTCGCTAAATTTAACGGGAAACGCGCGTACGGACGAACGGACGAACAAGGTACTGGGATTCGGGGTTAGGTTAAAAAGCACCTCATGCTTTCAAGAGGCCATTGCCGACAGACGATGATTAGCTCGAGTTCCTCCATAATTCTATACGTCATAAATATTGACATTATATTTTTTTGGTTGCTTTGCGCTTTCGGCCTGGCATGCCGGGTGTTGAAATTTCGCCTGAAGCCAACGTTACTAGAACACTCAGTTGAGAAACTCGCCGTCGAAACCTGGGCCGCTGGCGTCCACCGAGACCGAGCTAAATACAACAACAGCGCCACTCTTTATCATTTCTCTGTACTGTGGTGACCTTGAGCTTTTAGAAAGCCTATTTTTGTGTAAAAACAAAGAACCGGTCACCTAGCTGTGTTTGGATATTCGTATTTGTCCTTTGTCCCTCTTGTTCCCCTTCTCCAGGGATTATTTTCATCATTCTTGTCCAGCTCGCTTGCACCTTTGCATTTAATTGCATTATAATATTAACCTTAATTTGCAAGCTTCACCCTTGTTGGTGTTAGACTGGTGGCGGCTGATAAAACCCGTTTGCTCTACTGACGTCTGACCCCTGGTTAGCTCAGTTGGTAGAGCGCTCCACCTGTAATGGAGAGGTCCCGGGTTCGATAACCGGACCAGGCGGATTTTTTCGGTCGCACACCGGTCTCGTAGCTGTGTTTGGAGATTTGTGTTTGTCCTTTGTCCCTCTAGTTCCCCTTCTCCATGGATTATTTTCATCATTCTTGCCCAGCTCGCTTGCACCTTTGCATTTAATTGCATTATAATATAAAAAAAATGGCGAATTAAGGTGGTCAATCGCCGGCGAGACCGAGCCGGCGGAACCGGCAACCAGAGTTGCGCCGGCGGCACACCACGTGACCCTCACCACCCGAGTACAAAACACCAGACGGTGGCAGTTTACTTCGCCTCTTGCCCGCGCGACACCGCTAGCGAGAGGATCTCGCCGCCGTTACCGCCGTCACCCAAGTGCCAACGGCTTGAATTGACTCGAGTAGTGGCTGCCGAAGTGACTTCAGATTAGTTTCCTTCTTTCGTTCATATTTTTCTCACTGACCTCCTCTCCCATTTCGGAAGCGACGACACCGGATACAGTCCGGCGCCTGCTCGCCCGGCCGTTTGGAGCTCGGGTGGAAAAAGCGCCGGAAAGTTGCCGGTGCTTGCCGGAGAACCACCACCCGAACGGTGCGCCCCGGCCGGACACTGACCACGCGAACACTACTGCAGGTTTCCCGGCAAAATAAGTTGCCGACGACTGACCACGCGAATTCGCCGAAAGATTCCTTTTTTTATGACACTTATTGGAGTTTAGTACAAAATGATGGGTGCGTGATGTTTTTAAAATCTTTAGTTTGCAGGTTTTTGCGGCACAATTAATATTGTTTTTATACAACCATGCCTCAGCGGTGCTTTCAGGTAGCGCGTCCCGACCTAGGTGCACTTTAACTTCGTTTGTAGTCGCGGCGCGTCCGGTGGGGAGACGGGGTGGCATTCCTGTAACTTCTTCCGCTGTATCTGTTTCGGCGCCAAAATGGCCGATTAAAGCCAAAATAGATTTCACGTGCAGTTCCTCGAGTGGCCGCTGCGGGAAAAATGGCGGCGTTGTGTTCGCCATGAGCTCGGTTCTCGAGGACAGATCGGGGCCACTTCTTCAGAGCAGTCTATGGCAGTTTCCTAACTGAGTGGTTAAGTAACGTTTCCTGAAGCCATGCTGCAGAGGCGATGGCCACAGTGGCGCTCTGACACGAAGCCGATGGGACAAAAGTCGGCTAGAACTTTTGAACAGGAGAAATACAAATTGGATAGGGGACATGTTTTCACAAGGTTTCCGTACAGCCTCAACTCAAAAGTAGTTTTTACTTTGATTTACTGGTGTATTATAGCAGATACAGTACTGGCTAACTAAAACAATCAAGCAGCCTTTGTTCTTGCAAAAAATATGGGTTTGCATAAAAAATAAGAAGCTTTCAAATTGTATTTTAATGCCTACTATAAATTTACAGTAAATTTGTACTCCTCCATATATGTGTTTACTAAAATGGTCATTGAAGCGAGGATCATATATCTAAATATAGATATATAGTAAGGGTGTTTCTATAGAGACCTCGCCATCTTCACTATCATCCTCAATATTGGAGCGTGCACTGCTTCACGGGGAGTGCGTGCTCCATGCGGGCGGCGGAGAAAAGCTCACCGGATAATTGCTCACCGGAGAAATGTTCACCGGAGAAAAGCTCACCGCAAAACAGGCAGATGCGGAGAAAAGGTCACCGGCCCATGAGCAGAGGCAAAGAAAAACTCACCGATTTTTTTTTCTAGGCTTAGCGGATTGTGCGTCACACGTGGCAATTTAACACAATTAGAATTTATCACTTCATTAAACATAATTGCCTTCTGTTTTGTAATAGTGTTGAGGTTTATTGAACATATTTACTAATTCCTCAGAAATTATTAATCACCCATTATGTATATTAAAGACGCGGCAAATACAAATTCAGAACATGGAACACCCGTAAACAAAAAAGAAAAAAAGAAACAATTATTTAACAGTTTGATACTGCGCCGTCGGTAGCTCTGTCAGACAAAGAGGCTTGTTTTTTGCAAGCTAATATGAATAGCACTCTGTGAACCGTTTCAACTCCGAAGATTGTGTGGTGCCTGATAGATGAGTAGGTGTTTGATGATGTAATCAGTGTAGGCTACGCTGTTTTTTTTTTCTGTGCTTGTTTTTGTTTTTACTAATAAAACTTTATTGCGAGAATAGCTTCGTCCAGTCGTGCTTATTGTCTTCACTCCGTCTTCGTCGTTTGAGCTGTTTTCATCGTGTATAACCTTTACCAACAAGCCCAATTCTCTACCTTACAGAAGACTAGTTCTTATATAGTCACGAGTAACAACGGTGACAGTGTGCAGTTCTGAAGGTCAGGGGTGGCTCGCAGTAGAAGGGTCCTGTCACAGAAAGGCAACGTGTGAGGAAACCAGCGTGAACGGCAAGAGAACGTGCATGTCCGTGGAAGAAAGAAACATCGGTATCCTACAAACCGTTCTATCCTTTCGTCAAATGTTAACAAAAGCTTCAAAGATAATTTCAGGCCCCGCGTTGTTGCGCATGCACTTTCGTATTTTCGGCATTTACAGTTTTTCTTTTCAGGTTTTAGGCAGACATTATTAAGTTTTCGAACTTTTCCTCTTTTTCAAGTTCATAAAGTTTTCAGTTAGGCTTTTGTTACCTAAAGAGTAAATCACAGAAAACACTCGCCCAAAATTATTAATTTGGAAGCAATGTACTTAATAAACTTAACAAAGGTTACAAAAAGGAACATTTTTTTTTATACAAAACTGACGAATTTTAATAATAATAAATTGATGTAAGTTACGGATGATCTGACAGTCTCCATATAAAAAAAAAAAATCGGTGAGCTTTTTTCCGCATTCGCTCAATGGCCGGTAAGCTTTTCTCCGCATCCGCCGGTTTTCGGAGAGCTTTTCTCCGGTGAGCTTTCTTCGAGTGAGCTTTTCTTCGGGATTAGTTCCATGCCCAGGGCAGTCGAGCT